TTGCACAAGAGTATACTTTGACTTGTTTGCATTAATGGAGAAAAGTGGCTAATAATCAGACACTCCTTTTGCCTGATCTTGAATCCTTATTCTGTAAAACAAAAGAAGCAAACATTCATTAGTGTTTCCGTGGAAGGATTATTTTAAAGCTTCTAACAAGTTCCAGTTTTCTTTGCCTTTTCTGATTTATTGACAGACTCATGATTCACTTATCCATTTAATTCACTTTTAATCTTGCTCTCTAAACTGCTACATAGGAAGCTAATTTTAGGCAGCCTCTTTCTGTAAGATTAAAGCAGTTGGTTCACGGGGAAGAAAGTCAGTCAGGACTGTTTTATGATGTCCAAAGTCAGAGGCATGGGAAGATAGTTTGGAACTTCTGGGAGGCCCAGGGCTTGATGGTTGACATTTCATGGGAACTTGTTACAGCAACAGTCCTGGCTCAGCTATATGGGTCACGAACATTAAAATAGGCAATGCCATCAGCCAGATGCAATGGAAAACAGTTAACATGGAAAATACGGGATGACCATCTTACCTACAACAGTGTGACTACTAGGCTTGAGTCTTTTAAGCCTGCTAATTATTTTTTGAGTGAATTAATGTATAAATGAGTAAACACATATTAACATGTTACTACCATTTTTAGCCCAACAGCAGAATTCCTTGTAGGGCAGATTGAAACTGAGACCACTTAGAGAGTGGATTACTTAAATGATTAGTTATTTGGCTGCCTCACAGTTAATTTAGCAATAAACACACCATTTTTTCATGTTTTCAGTTAGAGCTTTTCTTTCTGTATTTTTTGGAAGCATACCTAATTAACATATAGCAATCACATTTTTGCTTGTCATTTAATATACACATTTTTAGAAAGTATCTTTGCATGTCATGCAATGCCTTAAAAGCTTTTCCAAAGACTGTGCCTTGGACTCTTCATTACTCTGTAAATATTCAGATCATCTTTCTGGGTAGAGGAAGGGTGGAAAGAAATGCAGAGAC